GTTTTTTATATATTGCGTGTGTACATTACAAATTATAATATATATATATATATAAATATAATATATATAAATTGTAATATATATATAAATAACTTAATATTAAAAAAAAGTTTAAAAAATTCCCGGGCTCAGGCCGCCGAATACAAGTCCGCTGCCCGTTCAAGGTGAAATTCGGGCTCGGACGGGCGGCCTGAAAATCTCGGGCGGGTCGGGTTCGGCCTCGGGCAAATCCTCGGGCTTTTCAGGCGGTCGCGGGCGGCCCGTCCAAAGTTCCAGCACTATAGTGTAGTGGTGTATGTGCTATGTATTTCTCTTTTGATATTGTAACTAATTAGGATTATGCTGCACTTTGTTAAATTGTATTAACTAGGAAGTTACTTGACTTGGCATATGACTAAATTTTGGGATTATATATATAGTTAAATGATATATTGTCATTTTTATTATTGACAGGAGTTAAAGTTATATTTTTCAGGGAACATATCATGATAGATGGTAAAAATGATCATATTTGAGCTTGTGATAATTTATTATTACATAAAAATATCAAATATTATTATTTTTTGCAATTGAAATATAGTTTTTAAATTATTATCCTTCAAATAAAAAGTGTTTTCAATAATTAAATTATTTTTTTTACTATTTTAATTAATTAAAATATTAAATTATTTAGGATTATTAGTCAAGGGTATTTTTGTCAAAATACAGTTTATTTTCATTCCATTTCATTGTCAATCAAACAACATAAACTTCATTCAGTTATTGATTCCATAACTCCAATCAAACTAAAGAATCAGTTTATAATTCCATCACATTCCAATTCCATTCTATTACCATTCCTATAACCATTCCGTCACTGCAACCAAACGCACTCTTAAAAGAAACCCTTTCAACTTTCACGCTCATTTTTTCCCTAGTCCACCACCTCTTTTCCTCTCACTTTTTCCCCAGTCCTCTCCACCTCTCTTCCTCTCATTTGTTCTCCGCCCATGTTTTCTCTAGTCCCCACCTCTTTTCCTCCCTTTTTTCCCCAGTACCCATCACCTCTTTTCCATTTCCATTCGCCTTCTCAGCCTAGATTCAATCTCTCCATTCACCTTCTCAACGAATTTGGAGTTTTTTCATAATCTCTTAGTGAGAAGGTTCGGATCTCTATTATTTTGGAGAAATTTGTTCTTTGGTAGTTCGATTCTCTTTTTTTCCAAGCCCAAACCGACCAACACGAGTAATCTGAGCCTATCCGAGGTCACCCGACAGGTTATAAGTTTGTGGGCTTAAGAGGGTGTTGCGGTCTAAAACTTTCTCAACCCGTACTGTATGACTCGGCCCAGCTTTTCGACTCCATTTGTGCCTACCCGACCGAATTGCACTCCTACTCATGACTTGTGTATTTTGCGAGATCTTTAGAACAATAATATTTGATATAAATAAGTACCGGCTAGCTAGCTAGACTGTTTCCCAAGATAAAGTCCTATCGGGATTACATTCTTTCTGTTCTAGACTAGATTTTGTGGAACTATTTTTAATCACTTATTAATTAATTAATTGGAATATGCCCAATAATTAACTTCAGATAAGTTTTCCTACTATGGTATTTCATCGCGAATTTATAAGGCTCTCTTTAGTTTCGAAAATGTGGCCGTCCTGAGATCAAGTTTACAATTTTTTAAGGCTATCATTTTCAACCAAAAAAAAAAAGAAAAAAAAAGAAAAAGGTTCAACCAAAAAATTTACAAGTTTTGAATTGTGCGGTTGTCCTGAGATCAAGTTTAAGCTTACAGGAAAGCACTTGTGTGTGTATATGGGGTGGATGGGCGATGGGCGGAGTTATGTGTGCCATGTATAAATCTATATATGTGTTTGTATGTATGTAGATAAACATTTAACAGATTTTATGCATAAACAAAAAAAAAAAAAACAATATACGGTCAAGTAGAAATTTTCTATAATAAAAAAACCCAGACAGAGATGATAATATTCCCTACGGAGATGGACCCCGCACCGAACGGGCGGAGATGAGGGACAATTATAGCAAATGGGAATAGAAAAAAAATCTAGTCCTTGATTCATGGCGGGGTGGAGACGGGGAAGTATTCTCCACTCCGCCTCTGTCCTGGTATTAGTGTGTAACAATGTAATAAAAATTGAAGTTATTAGGAAGAAATAAAGAAGGATCATTTACGTTTATATTTTGATGTTTTTAAACTTTTTTCGCTTATATGTTAGTCATTACTTTTGAATTCAGTTTGCAATATCTTAAGAATTTGGTTTTTTATCATGAAATCTTTAATTTTGGTGTAAATTTATAAAGAATTTGTACTCTATTTTTATTTTAAGTTGCTATAATATTAAAATGCATAATCTTATATGATGGGGACTGAGGCGGGTAAATGGAAGACTCATCCAATAGAAAATTCCCGATTTCAACCCCGCATCTCTTTAAACAGGGATGTAGATAGTTTAGGGTAGCAAAGATAGGAATGAAAAATCATCCTCCGCCCCCATCCCGCCTCATTGTCATTCTTTAAGTAATAGAAAAAAAAAAAAAAAAAAAAAAAAGAATAGTGATACGCTGAAACTACAAAAAAAAAAAAAGACCAGCCATAATGTACTGAAGCTACAGATACAAGCTTTTTTCCTATATATATATATATATATATATATATATATATCTTGCCTATACCGTCGTATTTTCCAATCCCTTCTTGCTAGGAGTACCATTAATGCAAAATTTGTTGGGAAAAAATTACAAAAAAGAGCAATTTCAAAACTATGACGTAATTCATCTTTGACATGACAATGCTTGTATACAACCTAGAAACGTGCCTTACCAGTTACCAGTGACCAGAAATCTGTAGCCAACAATACTATAGTAAACCTCTTTTCCTTTTACCAGAAACGAAATACTTATAAATATATCACTAGCCGTATTAAGAGTAACAAATACTTTTCAAACAATCACATATTGTTATGTTACAGTAAGATATCAAACTGCAACAAATTTTGAATGAAACTACAACTTAATAAAAACCAAAGCAGTGAATTTAGTGATTGAGCAGTAACCATATACTTGATTCGATTAGAGCTCAAATTTCTGATCCCTAAGTTTAAAAAAATAAATGTCAATTTCATGCATATATATGCATGTGTCTCATCTATTCTTCAATCTCTAGGTATACCTCATATATGTTAGTTAGAGCAACAAGCTTTCTTGCTGATCATACTACTCGTAAAATTGGAAACATTTATGGTGGTGCCTTGAGGAAGGCCAGGTGTGGAAGCAGCTGCCTCTTGAGCAGCCAAAGCCTTCTTGCTGATTATCTGGTAAATGTCCAACAAAATGCTCTGGAAAGCATTCTCAACATTGACGGCCTCCAGCGCCGACGTCTCGATGAACGACAGGCCTTCCTTCTCAGCCAAGGCAGCCGCGTCCTCGGGCGTGACAGCCCTAAGGTGTTTGAGATCGGCCTTGTTGCCTGCCACCATGATGACGATGTTCGAGTCGGCGTGGTCCCGCAGCTCGCGCAGCCACCGCTGGACGTTGTCAAAGGTCTGCCTCTTGGTAATGTCGTAGACCAAGAGTGCCCCCACGGCTCCTCTGTAGTAAGCGCTGGTTATCGCTCTGTACCTCTCTTGACCTGCCGTGTCCCATATTTGTGCCTTCACCGTCTTCCCTTCTATCTGCTCGGATCAATATTTATACATATTCACGAATTAATTGATGTGAACATATAATATTAATTCAACGAAGATTATTGAATTGAATTTTGCTTTGTGCTTTAGGTTCTTCTCGTGTTTTGCATATGATCTTGTTCTACTTGTACATAGTTTTGCTTTTGGCACTAAAACCGTATATAATATTGCATTTATTGTCGTTGATGTGTTACAGGAGGTTCAAATTATATGTCTAATTTCAGTGTCTAGAATGGTGTTCAATCAAATTGTGTCATGTCATTTAAAAATATTCTCACTTTGATATTTAGATCTATCGAATAACATGTAATAACGTGATTAGTTAGACACTAATTGAGATACAAAAAATTAGACAGGTGAATTGAGTCCTTTTACAAGTGTCTTATGTTTATATTAAGATAGTTTGTTTCCTAATCTGTTTCAAAACTAACAACATTAAGTATAGCACTGCCTTTCAAATTTTAGCATTTCAATAAGGAAAGTATTCATAATGTTATTCTTAACGTCATATTTTTATTTGACATGTACTATAGTTGGTGTCAATTTGACACAAAATGTAGTATGTATGTAATTTTATCAATTTGGCTACTTAGTAGTTAAGTTATTGAACTTTTCATTTAATAATTACAATATTACATTTTTTTAATCTCTAAAAACTAAAATTTTTTCTTTAATAATTATAAAACTTAAGACTGATGACACAAAAATAAAAAATACTATTTGACATGGCATTATGCATTACAGTAAAAATCAAATAACAAATTAAGTACTCTCTTTTTATACTTTCTTTTACCAAATATAGCACACTGACAACATTTGTATTGAAAATGATCCAACATGTTAAGAGTATTGACCCAAAATAAAACTATTCAAGCTTTTTGTGCGATTGATAATGTATAACAAGTACATAATTACATAAAGACTATTAATCAACTTTATGTTAGTCATGAGAATGATCAATTCAAATTTTTACATAATATGAAACAATGGAAACTCTCCACATTGAACAAATCAATATGCAAGGTAGATGATCATATATACATGACTTTATTTTTTATTTTTTATTTTTTTTATTTTTAGGATACCTTTTTAACTTTACGAGTTTGGCAACTTAGTTCCTCAATTTTTAGTATTGACAATTCACCCCTTAAGCTTACAATTGGTTGCAGCGTGCATATGAGAACCAATTTGATGCAAAAGACTGAAATTAGCCTTATTAAACGTTATCCTGGAAGAAACCGTCTAAATTTTTAATTTTGTTTCAATTTGACCGACATTGTAATGGATTTTAAAGTTTAAGAGATAAATTATCAAGATTAATAAAAGTCGGGAACCAATTTACTAAAAGCATAAAATTGAGGGAGTGCCCGTATAAAAAAAAGCCTATATATATGTTGGAAGATATTTGGAACAAAAACCAAAACCAGATATATGCAGGGGACAAAGAGTTAGTTGTTGATCATACTTGATAATCATCAAATAGCAAAAGCAGCATGTTTACTAATTAGCCAAAACACGAAAACGAAAAGTGATTTATCAAAAAAAAAAAAAAAAAAATAACAATAGTATTGAAAAAAAAAACCTACCTGTAATGTCCGAGTTGCAAACTCAACCCCAATGGTAGACTTGGACTCGAGACAAAACTCGTTTCTCGTAAATCTCGACAGTATATTAGATTTGCCAACGCCTGAATCTCCAATCAAGACGATCTTAAATAGGTAATCATATTCATGATCTACTTTGTATGCCATTTTTTTTTTATTATCTTCCACTAATTACACCACCTCAAATATCTGCATGAGTCAAATCCAAATTAATCATAACCCATGAAAAGTTATACTTAATCATGTAGATATACACCTACAGAGAGAGAGAGAAAAAAAAAAGACTGCCGTTTGGTTCATATATAGGTTTAAACTATATTCAAACTTTTTTATTAACGGTATTTTTTCTTATAAAATTTTAAATTTCTGTTCAAACACCTATACTTTTGCTTGTTTTAGAAGAAAATGAATAAGGGAAAGAAGAAAAACAGCTAATTGGATTTTGTTGTATTTTTTCTTTTGAGTTTTTTTTCCGGTAAGAGAAGGGGAAAAAAAAGAAAGATGAAGAAAGGAAAATTCAGACAAAGGACAAACCATAAAACAAAAGTGGGTCTACTGATCAGGAGGAAGCATGAGTTTAGGAATTTGGAGTTTTCTTCTGGGCAATGTTTTTATGGAGAAAGTAGTTTAAGGACATGAGAAGAGAAGAATAAGAAAAATAATAACGAAATGTTTGGGAGTATTTTTACAAAGCCACAATGGGAGGAAAAGAAACAGTTTAACGGACGAAAAGGCACTAAAAACGGAGAAATTATTCAATGGTCCCGGCCTACCAGGTCAGATCCAGCCAGTTGAAAGCCACGATTTTAAAATTATATCCCTCATATTAGCAAGAACTGTCACGCGCTATATTCACAGCAATTCGATAATTAACCCGTGTGTGTGTGTGTTTTTTAAAAATATTTTTTGCTAAATTTATCCTATTTCTAAATTGTTATGCACATTAATATTAGTTTCTTAAAAAATAAATAATCTTTGATTTTTTTTTTGGGGTAATAACGTTATTTGTTTACATGCTTACTTTTGTAAAAGTGTTCAATTGCTGAAAGAGAGAAGTTTGATCCATTTGCTGCAACTTTAATTTGTCCTCTCTTAAAAAAAAAGTTGATTGGTCATGGGGCTATTTTTATACTCTTTTTTTTTAAAAAAAAAAAAACATTAATTTAGATACGTGCAGTGCACATATTGATAAGTTGTAATTGTAGTTTTTATAACGTAGAATAGAAACAATAATATACAATTAGAAGAAAGTATATAACAAAATTACTTAAAATTGAAAAATGCCATGATTCATGCCATGATTGCTAGATTCATGCCATGATTCGAATCATGGTTCATGATTCGCTACAGTATTTTCTCTCACAAAAAACACACGTAAACCGAAAATGATTATAAATCATGATTCTGAATCCATAAACTAAACGTTAGAAGGCGCTGACAAACCTTAAACAATATATATAAAAATAAAATCATTGTCACTACAATAAAAAAGAGTAGAAGTAGGCTCCTTCACCGTCAGTTGTGAACTATTTCGGTACTTCCTTTTTTTTCTTTTTCTTTTCTTTTCTTTACTGTTTTTTTTTTCCTTTTTTTAGTTACTATAATTTTTAACTTTCATATTTTGGTGATTCTTCTCCTTTTTTTTTCTTCTTAACTGTCCCTGTTAGCTCCTAAATTCTAAGTCTTAAATCTTAATTCCTAATCTTAAATATATAAAAGAGTAAGGCCCCGTTCATTTCGTCGATTTGAGTTTTACTACAGTAAAAAGCTCTCAGAAACAGTCACATCTAACTTTTTTACTACAGTAAAAAGCTCTCACAAAACGTTACATATAAACTCGAATTAAAAACTCGAATCAGCAAACTAAACGGGCCCTAAATATGTAACTTGTTCATACTTAGTAGTCCAAAACGGTGAGTGTTTATCGCTTTACCTTTTGTCCTTTTATTTTTTAAGTTTCACCATCACTTTTTTTCTTTATTTTGTTCTCTCACAATTTGTATTTATCCTATGATAGTTCAAAACGATTCTTTTTCTTTTTAAGTTTTAATTCTTTTATTTTTAAAATTTTGTTAATTATAATTTTCTCGTTTTTTTTAGTTCTATAACTTTGAACTTTTGTTTTTCATACCCACTTTGATGATTCTTCTCCTTCTTTTTTTTTTTAACTGTTTTTTGTTTTGTTTTTTGTTTTCATATCCCTTTAGCTCCTAAATCTTAAATACTAAATCTTAAATATATAAAAGAGTAAATACATAACTATCGTTCGTACTTAGTAGTCCAGAACGGGGAGTGTTTGGCGCAATTTGCCTTTATATTCTTTCTTTTTTTAAGTTTTAACTTCCTTACTTTTTTTTTTATTTCATAATTCATACTCATTCTATGCTAGTTTAAAAAGATTCCTTTCCTTTCTAAGTTTCAACTCCTTTATTTTTTTAGTTTTATTAATTATAATTGAGAATGTTTTACGTTTTCTATGCATTTAATGTAATCTTTTGACTACTATTAACAAATATTCATTTTTTTCTCATAAATTAGATGTGACGACTCATATTTTGTAATAAAGTCAGCTGTTAGAATATGCCTACTACCCTTTGATATATTACTCTTTTTCAATTTTTAAGTAATTTTTTTATATACTTTCTTCTAATTGTATATTATTGTTTCTATTCTACATTATAAAAACTTCAATTGAAATTTAAAAATATTTCACACTTTGAACAATACAAAATTGCTCAAAACACTCCCGTCATTATAACACTAACAAACTGATAACGTGCCATAACTTATAATTTCGTAAATACCTTTGAACTTTCAGTTTTAAGTCAACTACTCTCCCAAACTATTGATTTTGTAGTCTATAGTACTATTTATTTTGTATCAGATTGTCTTGCATACTGTTAAGAAATCGGGGAAAAGTTTAATTAATAGTTTGAAAGGTATTTATGGAACTATACGTGTTCGAATAATATATAGTTCAGGGGTGAAAAGAATAATAATAATTATAATAATTATAATAACAACAATAGTGTGACAAAATAGTTACTTTAGTTTATGAACTCACAAGATTTTGACCTTTTTTAATTCTAATACTTACAGATACTTTTCTTTTTCTTTTTTTTTTTTTTTTTTGTGATGTCGACGATTGCTTTATGATATACTACAAATCCTACACCTAATTAAATGTTCCCTTGTGTATTTATTTATTTTCGTGAGAACAATTATACTTCCCTTGTAAAGATTAATCTTGTACGACATTCATTTCTTCCTCATATCAGTTTATTAAGGGATAAGTTCAAAGTAAGTGTTCAACAATTTAATAGCCTCATTTTGAAAATATGTATTTAAAAAATTTAAAATATTTAAGTACTAAAATTTCTCATTTTCCCTTTTTTTTAATTAATAATGTAAAACTGCTCAGCTAACGACATAACGTTTTGAGACATCCCATTTCAAATGAACTGCCAAATAAACAAACTACTAGTTAGTATTGCCGTCGTTTTTCTGACTAACTCCAATTTTAGATTGAAGTCTTCAAAACGCGCAGGTCACGGTTTTTACTTTTTAATACATGCTAGTTGAAAACACCCGCGTGAGATTCAGTAGATACGTAAGAATGAAAAACATTATATTTAGAGAAAATTTTACTTTAACCATTTTTTTTTGTCATTATATAAATTTTGATGCCATTATAAAAATAACCTACAGATTATGATTGCCAATTATAGGTTAGGAAAAAATAACTTACAAATAACGAATGATAGTAAGTTGTAAGTTACGGAAGATAATCTGCAAGTTATGAAAAAATAACCTGCAGATTATTAGTAGCATAAGATAAATTTACAATAGTGGCATAAATAAAATAGTGTTACTTTATTGATGACATATTTGGTTTAAAAAAAAAAGAATGTATTAGAGTAAAAAAAATAGTGTATTAGGGTCTTATTTAGAGAAATAAAAAAAAAAAAAAAGAATGTATAATAGGGTAAAACAAGATAAGAATGAAAAAAAAAAGGAAGATAAAAAAAGAATGTATAATAGGGTAAAACAAGATAAGAATGAAAAAAAAAAAGGAAGATAAAAAAAAAAAAAGAGAGAAAAAGAAAGGAAAGTAAAGAAAAAAATTTACTCCCGAAATGTTAGGAAAAGAAAATTTAAAAGAAGTCTAGATAGAGATATAAATGAGAAGAAATTATTTAGAAGGAAAATTAGATAGTAAAATATATTTATTAGGATCAATTTGAAAAAGAAAAGATTGAAGGACAAAGAGAAAGAAAAAAGAAAAAAAAAAGGACGGAGGCTAGAAAAAAATGAAAGTACAAAAAAAAAAAAAAGAAAACCGAAAGAAGAAAAAGGAAGAAAGGAAAAAAAGGTTAGAAACGTTTCGTACTTTCTTAGCTTTCTTGGAAAAACATTATATTTATTACTTATTAGGATCTCATTTGAAAAAATAAAAAAGAAAAATGTATTAGGGTCTTATTTTAAAAAAAAAAGAAGAATATATAATAGAATAAAAAAAGATAAGAAAGAAAAGAAGAGAAGGCAAAAAAAGAAAATAGAGAGAAAAAAAAAGGAAAATAAGAAGAAAAAAAAACATTACGAAATGTCAAGGAAGAGAATTTAAAAGAAATTTAGATAATAATATGTATAAGAAGAAATAATTTTGAAGGAAAATTAGACAGTAAAATATATTTATTAGAGTTAGTTAAAAAAAGATTGAAGGAAAAAACAAAAAGAAAGTTAAAAAAAGAAAAAATGAAGAACAAAGAGAACAAAAAAAAAAAAGAAACCCCAAAGAAACTCATTTTACATTAGTAGAATGGATTGATAACATCCTTTCTTCCAAAAATAAATAAAATAAATAAATAAATAAAAATTGAGAAAAACCCTCCCAGTCAAAAACTTTTAAAAAACTATTTTTCCCTTAGATTCTACATCTAATATTTTCCCTGTTTAAAACAAAGAAAATAAAAGCGGTCCAATGCATTGTGAGTTGCTGGGTTTAGTCTTCAATGTATGATAGAAACATCTATGCTGGTCTTTTTAAGACTTAGGGCTTGTTTAGTTCGCTGATTTTAATTTTTAATTTGAGTTGAGATGTGACTTTATGTGAAAGCTTTTTATTGTAGCAAAAAAGTTAAATGTGATTGTTTCTGAGAGCTTTTTACTGTAGCAAAACTCAAATTCTAAACTCTAATCAGTGAAATAAACTAGGCCTTAGTGCCTATTTGTTTGGAAGGTTTAGATGGGTTTGAATTAATTTTTGGGTTAAAACTCTTGTTTGGTTACATAACACTTAAGAGAATTTGGATTTAGAGTTCATTTGAACTCAAAATTGAAGGTTAAACTCTATTTTAGACCTTACATTATTAAACACTATCATACATTACCAAACACCAATTCAAACTATAAAAATTCACATATAAGTTCAAAGTCAAAGGTTTAAACCCACATAAATTTGAAGCCGCGGGCGTTAATACACTAAGTTAAGTCTTCAATAATGGAAAGACTTACATTTGTCTTTCTAAAGACTTGAACAAATTAGTTGAGTCTTCAATGATGGAAAGACTTACACTTGTCTTTCGAAAGACTTAAACAAAGTTAAGTCTTCAATAATTGAAGATTTACATTTTCTTTTAAAGAAGTTGCTCTTGGGAATAATGTCCTAGAAGCATAAAATGTAATAGAATATTTATTATTTAATTAATAAAAGAGTTTATTTATAATTTTATGTGCATATATTTATGAATATTTTATGAATATCAAATGAAAATTCCGTGATTATTTATGTAACCTTAAACATAGTATATAAGTGTTATATACGAGAGGATAGTGTTTAAGGATAATAATAAAAAAATTGTTCATAATGAATTTAATTAAAGTTTGAAATCTTTAATTAAAACATTATTAATACATGTCATTCCCATTTAGAATGAAAGGATGCTATCCGCACTGTTAATATGGTGAGATATTGAATGAGTGTATTTCACATAATGAGATTGTGTGGAACAGGGACACAAACACAATATGAATTTCTAATAATTTCCGTTAAGCATAGAAATTCTAATTGAGTATACCGTTGGTCATATATAGAATGATATTAATCATGAGTTCTTAACAAACTCTTATTTATGGATTTATGTCTTTTGATTTACTCGGTACAGATTCTGAGACCCTGAATCCTATTCCTTGTATTTTGGAGACATGATGAAATAGGTGGCCGGGAATGTTATTATACGAGATGGAATTCATTCCTTCTTGAGAAAGTAGTAGATAAATAATTCTATTGAGTGTTGATTCGGTACTTGGATTAGTAAGAGCGCTATGGTTCATGAATGTGTTTTATGAATCACTATCCATTAGAGAATCAATGGTACTCAAGGATGAAGATATAATTAGAGAGGTTAACGGATTCTACCTGACTCTAATTATGAATTATTTATGGATGATTGATCTATATGTAATAACTATATCAAATGGACACTTCACAGTTTAGAAGTAATTAATGTCTATAATTTTGAGAGTTCAATTCCAAGTTTATAGTGGAGTAACTATTGGAATTAATAGAATTAATTAATTAATTAAAGTGTTTAATTAATTATTAATTTTATTGGAGCTCGGGATTATAGGTCCATTAGTCACTCGAAATTAAATACTCGAAAATAATTAATTGAGAATGAATTATTATTTAAATAATGTGATTATTTAAATTTGAATTTGAATCATGAACATAATTTAAATTTATCCTTCTAAACTTATTTGATAAGTGGTTCAATTTAGAATTCAAATTAATTTAAGTTTGACTTAAATTCGAATTTGAATTTGAATTAAAATTGGACTACAGGATAAAGGATGATTTCTCTTCATTCCCTATTTGTAATTGGCACCACACACAGGGTAAAAACCCTAAGGGGTGGCCCGCCACAATGGATAAGGAAGAGGGAAATTTTTTGTTCAAAATTCAAATAGGAGATAGAGATTTGATTTCTTTTTGAAGTTTGACTTCTACTATTTAAATATGAGAATGATAGAAAATTGTGGACACAATTTTTGAAAACATTTTTTCTGCCCTAACTGTTAGTGTGGCCGAAATTCTCAATGGAAAAAGAGAGAAAAAATTTTTCTGCCAAAAAATTTCACATCGTGCATGCGTTGGTGTTTGTGGAAATTTGAGTGTTTTTTAAACCTATTTTGTCTCACGTGTGCCCACACACACGTCTACGTGGAATCAAGGAATTGACGTGGAAGACTTTGGTTTTTTAAACACAAAGATTGGAGTAAGGATTGTTCGTGGTTAAAAAACTCAAGTTATCTTCCGAGTCAGCCTCCAGGTATTTTTTCTAATTGAGTTCTTGACATATAAAGTAATGTGATTAATTTATTCGTGCATAAATTAATATAATCTATAGAGTATCTCAAAAATTTTATGAAAATTTTTGTTATACACGATCCGCCTCTCCGCCACGCTTCCGCATCCGAATTCAATTCGGTTACCAACAGTTGCAACTTTTGCTCTTAAGATACCGTCTCAATTGAGCTACTGACTTAGTTGATGCGTTTGATTTGGGCAAGAGATTATGTGAGAAATCTCCGACACCCGCGAGTCTGCATGCCAATTGTATACAAATGTGGAGACTAATCATTTAAATTAGAATGAGGTTGATGTTTTATTATTAAAATGTGTTTAGTTTAATATAAACCATTGGAAATGCAAATGCTAATTAATGCCAATTGTATATTCGACATTAAAAAATTATGAATGATATTATATGTAATTTTTATTTTTGTTACAAAGCATAATACTATTTGAAATGTTTAAATTTATTTTTTTTATAATCATTAAGCTTTAAAAGTTGTAAAAGTAAACTTTTAATTTTAAAATAATTTAAAAAATTAAGTTGTAATGATTAAATAAAAAAGTAACCATATCAACCAATATGAATTAAACGCTAAATTTGCAATATATTATACTTAGTCAGAAATTTGTCACTAAGTCTAATATTTTGGCAAATTTTTTACAACAAATAACATTGCATTGGAGAGTGTTTTTTATACTCAAATGCTAAGATACAATTGGCATATCAATTATAGAGTTGTATTGTAGATGCTCAAATATATACTATGTATTTTGGGAGGCTAATAAGTACTTAGGATTAATCTCATTGGTGCCCTATAAACTTTGAGGTCATTCCCACTTTACCCCCGTTGCTCCCTAAAATTTAAATTTGTCCCACTTAAGCTCTTTTGTGAGAATTATTGTTGAAATTAAAAAGAAAAAGAGAGAATTAAGTGTGATCATGTAGTTTTTATCTGCGTGACTACATTACTTTTTTATTTTCTATATGTTTTTAACAAAATTACAATAGAAAGAGTTAAATGGAAACAATTCAAAATTTAAGAAGTAAAGTAATAATTTTTAATATTTAAGAAGAAAACTGAAAATGACATTAAAATTTAAGAGCACCAGATAATAGTCCAACAACTTAATGTAGATGATGAGTTTTTATATATTTATTTATTTATAGAGATGGGAGGATTTGTACCCTAAATCATATGGTCATAAGATTAGGTGTGAAGTTACGACTATACCCACAATCATATGACAACAAAATTTGATTGGAGGAATCTGCACCCCTAAATGAAAATATGGTGGAAGCTAAATGAAATTATCAATTCAAATTTTAAAAAAAAAATTCGCCGCTCTCTAGAAGATTTTAATTAGCCAGGTTCCAAGACTGAAAACATATTTTCGTCTTTAGCACCATCATTATCCGAGTCCCATGTTCCACAATCACGGAGAGACAGCTGACTTACAAACCTCAACCAAGCAGATATTGGTTGGAGTGCATTGCTTCTATTAATTTTAGTAGAATATGTTGCATGTGAATGTCCTTGTCGGATATGGACTAATCATTTGCCCCACTTTTCGTCATTGAATTTTCAAAACTATTTGGTTTGTTCACTTTATAAAATTTAAGGTGTGATATTTTTTAAAAAATTTTAATTATAGTAAAAAAAAATTAGATATGATATTTTTTAAGAATTTTTAACTGTAATAAAAAAATTAAATGTGACATTTTTTGAGTATATTTAACTGTAAAAATTTAAAATTAAAAATTCGAATCAGTAAAGTAAAATTAAAGAAGTCTTCAAATATCTAACCCATGAATATATCTATATATATGTGCACTTATATATGCAGTACTTATATATTCTAGCTCTTTCTTCAGTATCAATAATGGCGCTCTCATGGTTTCTCTCGCTCTTTCTCACTTCAACTCTGTTAAGCGGTTGTCATTCGGCAGCTCAGAATGATAGAAAGGTACGTTATAATTATGTAATGTCTTAAGTACTATTTGAAATATGACCAATTAATGTACGTAGTTGGTGTTGATTAATTACGTGTATATAAAAAATATATTTTTTTAATTTTTTTAATTTAAGAATGAGGACTGGAATACTACGCCTTATGGTGTCAGTTGTGAAATTTTACATGTATTATTCATAATTTAGCATTATTATTCCCTAATATCTACATGTACGATATTTGGTATGCAGGCTTATATAGTATACATGGGCGACATTACTCCACAGAGTGAGCAGTCCACGTCTGCACCTCTTCACATGAGCATGCTACAAAACGTTGTTGGCAGGTAATTGTTAATTTATATTATCATTAATAGTTGTTATTGCATGTGGATTGACTTTCTATATTATTAATTGTAATTATTTTTTAATTTTTTAAACGTCTTTCTTTACAATTTGTAACTATTATTCTTTAAAAACGTGTATGCATGCGCATGTTTTCAGAGATGTTGCACCGGGTTCTCTACTTCATAGTTACAAGAGGAGTTTGAATGGATTTGTTGCCAAGCTAACCGAGAAAGAAGCACAAGAAATGGCCGGTGAGTACTAGTGAATTGCATACATTTTCTTTTTCTTTTTTTTTCCCCCTTCCTCTTTCGACAATTTAAATTTCACTCGTGTTATTATATACTATTTTTGCACATGCAACTTAATTAACTGTACTATATACTGATATGTTTGTTAATTGTGTATTTGTAGGCAAAGAGGGGGTTGTATCCGTTTTCCCTAGTGAAAAGCAGAAGCTGCACACAACAAGGTCATGGGACTTCATTGGGTTTCCACAGCAAGTTGAGAGGTGCACGGTCGAAAGCGACATCATCATAGGGGTGTTCGACACCGGAATTTGGCCTGAATCCGATAGCTTTGACGACAAAGGTTTTGGTCCACCGCCTTCCAAATGGAAGGGATCATGCCAAACCTCCAATTTCACTTGTAACAAGTACGTACATATGTACTGAATCTAAGTAATATATTATCTGCTATTATGCTACATGCATACAAATATCACCCACCACTACTACAAGATATGGTGAATAACATGCGCTTAAAAGATGGTGTTTGAATGAAAAAGCGTCATCATTGTTATTTGGAGGGGGCGGAAAAAATTGTTACGATTTAATGGGAAAAACGACAGCAGTGAAAACAGTGAATAATTTGGCGGTATTATAATTAATAGCGGCTAAATGCCCTTAAATCTTTTAAGCAAAGAGTAATTTTAACGTTGGTTGTCAATAAATTTGGTATAGGAAACGGATTTGATGGTATTTTCTAAATGACCGCCATCTAAACTCAAACACAAAAATTCCTTAAAAAAAAAAAAAGAAAAAAAAAAAAAAAAAAAACTCAAAACACAAAATTGAATTTAATGGCGTTTTATGTCATTTTTACCTTAATTTAATAAATTTTAGTGTGAAGTATCTTATTATAATCATTAGAATGACTTTGTTGTCTACTAAGATTTATAGTTATTTTAGAATTTGAATTATTTTAGAGTTATTTTTTAATATTTATCTGTTAGGATTTATTTAAGTTTGATTATTATTAGGATTAAGATTTTCTTTAGGATTCTAATTAGAATAGTTTTACAAAACACAAGGGTCTTAATGTGCACATTGAGACCCTTGTGTTTTGCCTAATTACAAAAACATTTTTTGATTGAAACATTTCACATCAACACCTTCTGAGTTTTTATAAAAATTACAAAAGACACGATCTCTGCATTAGTGAACTTAATAAAAATGTAGTTTGACTGTTAAATGTTGTTTAAATGACGAAAATACCCCTCCGTGCATTAGGTAAAGATCACATCTACATCTAAGGCAATATATATATATATATATATTGACGTTTTTACTTTTGTTAATTAATAAAAATGATGTTAAGCAATATTTTGCATATTCACAACTATAACTTACACTCTAATGGTAAAAAATATCATTATAAAAGGAAATTATTAATGCAACAAGTAGATCAAAGACAAATATTATTCGGATATATATTCTTTTTATGATTTTTTTACAAAAAAGAAAAAAAAAATGTAAGGATGAAAGTTCTCTAATTTAGATGGAACACAGAAGAAGGTGTCAGTAGTGGTTCTCCCTAGATTTAACATCATTGTGTTACTTGCCAACATCTATGTATGTCAAGTAATTAATTAGTTTTTACGAAGGTGTTAAATGTTGTCATTTTGACCCCTATATTATATAAACAGCAAAATAATTGGAGCAAAGTATTACCGGAGTGACGGGACGTTCGAAGACGGCGATATCAAGTCACCGAGAGACTCGGACGGCCACGGGACACACACGGCGTCGACGGCGGCCGGGGTCCTAGTTGGCGGCGCAAGTCTTTTAGGCTTAGGCTCAGGCACGGCACGGGGAGCGGTTCCATCGGCTCGTCTCGCCATCTACAAAGTCTGCTGGGAAGATGGTTGCCAAGACGCCGACATTCTCGCGGCATTCGACGACGCGATTGCCGACGGCGTCGACATAATTTCGATTTCTCTCTCGTCCGGTTTGGAAGATTATTTCAAGAATTCGATTGCCATTGGCTCTTTCCATGCTATGAGGAAAGGCATTTTGACGTCTACTTCTGCTGGTAACGGAGGTCCATCCCTAACGACTCTCACAAACTTCTCACCTTGGACTCTCTCTGTGGCTGCTTCCACCATCGATCGGGAGTTCTTGACCAAAGTTCAGTTGGGTAACGACAAGACTTTTGAGGTAAAGCCTAAAGTCTAAACCTTTTCATAATTGTGTGATTCAAGTATTTTTAATATATATATATATATATATATATATTAGAGAAAAATGATAGATATTATTGATAATAGTGGTCATCACTAGATTTTTTTTATCAAATAAAAGAATTATCCCCTAAAATTGTAAGTATATATACACATTGAAGTAACATATTGTAAATGATGGTGTAAGATGACATTTATTATATGTAATAATAATAGTTTAAAAAGTTAACATGGATCTCTAGTAAAGAAATCTTTATATTTGTAAAATTGTAATTGTATGGAATAAAAATTATGTTTTATTTTCATAGAATAATGCTAGAGATGTCAACTTAAATCTTAATTTTTGTATATTAAGTGATGTGATATGTGAGTTATCATTTTTTATATTAGTAGATGTTTTAAAAATTGTCACATCAATTAATAAAAGAGATTAAATTTGTGAATAAAACTAGAGAATGAATAGTGAGACATAAGTTTGTTTTTAAAACTGTAGAAGTAGCAAAAAAAAAAAAAAAAAAGGGTTTTTTTTTTTTTTTTTTTTTTTTTTTTGGATATAGGGATTTTCAATAAATACATTTGACCTCAAGGATAAGATGTTTCCTATAATATATGGTGGAGATGCACCAAACACGACGGCAGGGATTGAGCAGTCTTTTTCCAGGTTAAAATCGTTCACTAATTTACATTAATTATTGTTGAAGCACTTAATTTTCATAAAAATATATTAATGCAGGTATTGCACAACGGGGTCGTTGGACCAGAATTTGGTGAAAGGTAAAATTGTGTTATGCGATTCTTTTACACGTGGGAGAGGGGCGATACTGGCCGGCGCAGTTGGTATGGTGATCACTGGCCGGGAATCTGGCGAAGTTTCCGAGACTTTTCCCTTGCCTACATCCTACCTTAATCCGGACGATGGAGCCCAAATTTACATCTACATAAATTCTACCGGGTACATATTTAGTTTTTTTTTTTCAAGCTATTAATCTTAATATTTTTAATTTATCTTTTAAAATATATATTTTTTGGAAAACCTTTTAAAATATTTTGTTGAAATATATCTTTTTTTTGAAGATTTATTAAAATATATCTTTAAATAGTTTTTCATATAATCCTCTAAAATTTTATTTTTCTCAAAATTACTGATAATACTTTTTAACTAATTGCCTTTCTGAAATACTTTGTTCTTGATGTGCCCGTTCTTCCTTTTTTTTTATTTCATAATTTTCTAATAAGTTTAGACCATCAATTTTAAAAGTTTTGGCATATTAGTCATAATTTGAAAAAGAACTACAAGGTGCTTATATTCATTTATATTTGCATATATACTTGAGATGCAAATGCTATGAAAAGCTTCCCACAAAATTATTTTTGTTGGGAAACTTTTCTTTTAAATCTATCAGAGACTATTACTACTTTGTGTTTGAATCAAGTTTAACTACTTTGAGAGACAAACATTATTTTGTCTCCAAATATCAAAATAACACATTTTAGACATGAAAAATTACTTTGTCCCTGAAAATGTTTATATATATATATATATATATATATTGTCTCTGAATATCGAAACCAACTTATATTTGGCGTGGAATTTCCCTCCAAATTCATTTGAGACTAAATTAATATTTTGTTTATTAATGCTTTATTTAGAGATAAAATATTTCGTCTCTAATTAAAGATTAAAAAAAATTGAAAAGAGAGACAGAAGTTTTAGAGACAATTATAAAGTAGGCTTTTAGAGACGAAATTAAGTTTCGCGTTTGAAAATGTCGTCTCTAAAATTGCTTTTCTGATAGGCTTGTAGTGACATATTTCAAGTTCAACCATGGATTATAAGTTGAATAATTTGCATATTTATTCAATATATTTTGTGATGAAAAACAATTATAAATGATTTGTGTTGAACATTGTTAATCATACATTATTTTCATATGAAATTTTTGGGGGGAAAAAGCAGCGTTAAAAAAAGGAACATGTCCTCTTATTAGTATGTAAGTTATTAAACATTCTTGGGTAAAAAGTTAATATCCAAGCTGCGTGTATAAATTTGTTAATTACTTCCCTGAAAAAAAAAAGATAAAAATGATCTTACTGTTTAAAAATCCATATTATTCAGAACACCGAGTGAAAACATAAGGCAAATAAAAGATTTTGTAATGTAGGAGCCCAATGGCGTCAATATCAAAAAGTAATGAGGCAAAAGATAGGCTGGCCCCCTACATACCTTCCTTTTCGTCGAGGGGACCAAATCCAATCTCTCCTAATATTCTCAAGGTAATCTGAAATTTTAATCAATCTTATTGATGATATTCAAGTTTATAGCTTTTAGTTAAGATCTTGATCTATTCATAATTATATGTGATGATCACAATCTGCAGCCAGATTTAGCAGCACCAGGGGTAAACATTTTAGCTGCATGGTCGCCAATTGCCCCAGTTTTAGAAGGTTTTGAAGATGACAAAAGAGTAGTGGCATACAATTTTCTATCTGGCACATCAATGTCTTGCCCACATGCTTCGGGGGCTGCTGCCTACGTCAAATCATTCAACCCGACATGGTCTCCGGCCGCCATCAAGTCGTCTCTTATGACCACCGGTAATAATGGTTGCATTATATCATATGATCCCATTTCTTAATTTCACTAATTACACCAATCACACATTTCTTTTATTTTTTTTCTTTTTATTTAATTGCGTAACCCGTCTAAACATCAAACTTGTGAAAAAACTTGCACATTGTGTAATTTTGATTAGAAACCATTACTAGAAAACGTTTGCTTATTGACACAGTCAATGCGTCCGTACGTACTCCTAGATATCAAGATGTTTTCTCGACGCTACTTGTACGTACCTCTAAAGTCCCCTAATTATTTGTGACCTAACCATAAATAATTTCTCGTACGTACGTATAATTTGCAGCTAATCCCATGAGTGCCGACCTTAACTCCGAAGCCGAATTCGCATACGGAGCCGGACAAATAAATCCTCTCAATGCTGCATGCCCTGGTTTAATATACGACGCAGTCGAAGATGATTACATAAGCTTTTTGTGTGGACAAGGCTACACTACAAAGCTATTGCAAATAGTTACCGGAAACAGTAACAGCACATGTCCTGATCAAGGCAGTCATGAAACGACACCGGACCTAAATTATCCTGCCTTTGCTCTTTCTACGACACCTTCGCAAACAATCAATCATGTCTTTAACAGGACTGTCACAAACGTTGGATCACCGACCTCTTCGTATAAAGCTAACTTGGTTGCCCCACCAGGGCTTAAAATCACAGTGAATCCTAGTGTTTTGTCGTTTAAATCCCTTGAGGAGAAGCTATCCTATGCGGTGACAGTGCGGGGGACAGTAGATAAGAAAGTTGTGGTCTCTGCTTCTCTTGTGTGGGATGATGGTACTTACCAAGTTAGGAGCCCTATTGTTGTTTATGTCCCGACATAAAAGGAAATTTTGATGTCGTTTATGGATTGAACAAAGTTACTCATGTGTTGGGATGCCTTCTTACGTATTACTAAAGGCAAAATAAGATAAGGAATTGTAGAACTGATATTTTTAGATATGGTGAACGTTTGATCTTTGTTATACAATATATATATATAGATATATATATATCTTATGTTCTTGATGTAACTATTTGATCGTTGAACAAAGTTACTGATGTGTTGGGATGCCTGCTTACGTATTACTAAAGGAAAAATAAGATAAGGAATTGTAGAACTGATATTTTTAGATATGGTGAACGTTTGATCTTTGTTATACAATATATATATATATATATTATGTTCTTGATGTAACTATTTGATCGTAATTCGTAAGTATGTGTTTCTTGTTATTCAAATTACTATTCGGCTTCATTCCATTCATGGACAAACCTTTAGCAGTTATTTTTTTAGTAGTATAAATAGGGGTCTAGTGGCTAATGAGAAGGGATGATTAGATTTGTAGAGTGTCTAGTGTTGTGCACTATTTTGGAGGTTGGGGGTCTTCAAAAACGTCCATGTATCTTGTAATTTTTCATTTTGAGTATTGTTAATGAAGCACAAATTTTCAGGTTCCTAACAATGGTATCAGAGAATCTACGATCCACAGAGCTCTTTGAGTTAAGAGAGAAACTTAGGATTGCTCTAAGAGCTAATCACAAGGTTTTTGGATGGAGTATGGGGGAACTCTAGGACCATGTGGGGAAGATTTGGACCCAGATGGGTGACGTGCAGGCGGCGCTGCGGAGGATGGAGGCACTGCTGGCGGCGCGGCTGATAGCTGGGCAGGCCGAGTTGGGTCGCGATGGCGAATGACCGGACGGGGAGAGGCGAGATCACGCTCCTCGGGGTGAGGAGAGCCCAGATCGTGTCGACCCAGGTGGAGTGGAGGTGCCAAATCGGGTGGATCTTCACCGGGAAGTGCCGATTTACGAAGATCGAGGCCGCGAGAGGGAATTCTGATGCCGGAGAGATGTGGATCTCATGGAGGAGCACAAGATCCGTTGCGATCTGGGGCTGGGTGGTCCGGATCTGCAGCGTGAGGGTTTGTTCGATGACGGGAGGAGGGCAGACGGAGGTCGCGACCGTCGGGAGAGGGCGGCAGAGCTTGGTCGGCGACGGGAAGTAGAGTGGGAGCCGGAGTTAGAGGAGGAGAGGCTTGCTCCGAGGCTGGGACAACATGGGCACCCTCGGAACAGGGAACCCAGCCCTGATTCAGTCGCGGTTGGGGTTGATTCCGGCCCGGTTTGGACCAGGCCTCGTGATTAAGGTGTGGAAGGGGCTGGTTCTGGTGCTACAGAGATAGATTCCGGCGCGACGAAGGCTGGGCTTAACGATTTGGCTGTAGTTTGGACCGGGCCTTGCGATTCCGGCGTGAAAGGGGCTGGTTCCGGTGCTACGGAGGAAGATTCCGGGAGAATTGGAGTGGGGTTTTTTTTTTTTAGTTTATTTATATAGTTTATTTTTATTTTTTTAAATAATATTTATAACTAAATAAAATAAAAAAAATCCCTCTTTGGGTTTTGTGATTTTGACGCCATTGGGGCTAGCTCCGGCGAGATGATGGTTAGGATGGGGAATTCCGATGCGAAATCCGGTGATTTTGGGGCTGGATCCTGAAATTCTGTTCGAAAGTAGGCTGGGTCTAGTGTTTCGGTATGGGTAGAGTCAATTTTGGGGTTGGGCCTCGTAATTACAATATTAGTAGGCCTAATTCTGTTGCAATGGCAGTCGAGCCTCAAAACTTTAACACGTTTAGGGTTGAGAATGGTACGATTGCATATGGGAATGAAGAAATTGGTGAGAGTGAGGCTGAAAGGTTGATGTCCTGGTTGGCTAAGAAGGAAACTCCCTTAGTGAGGATCGATTTGCCAATATTTTTTGTGACCATTGATGAGCTTGCGCAGAGAGTTTCAAATGAATTAATAGACTTTGTGTTTGCTTTCCAAGATACAAAGAAAATGGAGAAGAAAGTAATTGATTGGCTCCAATTTGAAGATGTGACTTATGAGGATAACAACAATTTGGGGACTCAAATCAAGGAACTAACAAAGCCTTTTATTCTTAATCATTTAGATGTTATTTTTCAATTTTATTTCTTGATTTTCACCTTGAGGACAAGGTGATTCTTTGGAGCGGGGGTAATGTTAGGAACCTGATAGTTAGCAATTATTTTTTTAATAGTCTTTTAGTAGTATAAATAGGGGTCTAGTGGCTAATGAGAGGGGATGATCAGATTTGTAGAGTGTCTAGTGATGTGCACTATTTTGGAGGTTGGGGGTCCTTGAAACCGTCCATGTATCTTGTAATTTTTCATTTTGAGTATTGTTAATGAAGCACAAATTTTCGGGTTCCTAACAGGGAGATTCTTAACTAGATTTCATATGACTAAATATTTTCTGCTAATTCGGAGTTGGCCGGATGGCAAAGCTTCTCATCATCAACTTGTTTATCATCATGTCAAGTTAAATTCTTCATATGATTTGTATTTCGGAGCAATCGCTTCAAACGCGGTTCCAATATAATGCATGCACTGTGAAAGAAAAAAAAAAATCAGCTTTGGTATATACTGTCTAATAACCTGTCTATTTATTTGTTTCAAAAGAAGTTGCATGTAATTTGTAAGGTTAACGTCTAGAAAAATTGAAGAAAATATTGCGTACAAGGTCATGTCCAACTGAAAATGAAGTGGGGTCGCTTGGAAATTGAAAATTCTATGGAGATGCATGGGTCCAACCAAGGCAATGCTCTTGATCCAATGCTACAGGATAATGAAAAGACAAACAATGCTATAGCACAGCAGTGGTGTTATACACTGTCCATTAACAAAAAGAAAGGAGTAGATTTCAATGTATGAGATCTATATGTGAGATCCATTTTCTATTAATGGTGCTTAGCGTTCATGGTGTCCGGAGAATTTTTTCTAAAAAGACTCATTTATGATGCAAATACTATTCCATTTTATGAGCTTGAACTATTGTGATGATCCCGTTTATTACATTCTCTTTTTTTTTTTTTTGTGTGGGGAAAAATAGAAAATTTATCCTTAAGAGTGCATGAGTCTAACCTTTACCCCTTACTCTTGCTAAATACTTTTTTATTAGTGTAATTATTTACCTAAAAAGATTATGAATCAAATGAAAAGGGTAAAAATCCTGACCCTATTTGTCAAGATACAAATAGCAATATGGCCACTATAAGAAATTGTAGTTTTAGCTACAAAATTTTCAGCTACCTACGTAAATTTGTAGCTAAAAATAAGTTTTTGAGACAAAATAAATTTTGTGACTAAATATTTTGTCAGAACATTTATTATTTATCATTTTCTCCGCAAGGATGTTATTATTGCTCCAGATTTTTGCTTTTTTTTCCACCACTTTTAAATTCTTATCATTTTTCTGAATGAGCTCTCCTGATTGGATTTAGGACAGCATACAGCTGAGCATTGCTATTTGTATTTAGGTATATCCTGATCCTACTCCCGAGAGGTGTTTTAGCTAGTGTTCATACATCGTTTTCCAATCTGTTCTATTATCTCTGATAATTTCAATGTCGGTTTAATAACATGACATCTATTTTTCAGGTGCTTTTAGGCTTGTTGAGTGTATGGAGTGTTTCATTTCTTAGATTTCCTGCAAGGGCAAGTACACGGATGCTTTAAAGTTTTTCTCTCACTGCCATCATGTAACATTCCTTAGTTCTATATGGTTTTCATTTAGCTGTAAAACTGACAGTTTTTATTGCTTTGGCCATTTTACCTTACTCACAAGCTCTGGAGAAGTTTGCCCCACATGTTCAACATGCAAGACTACATTAGCACTCTGTTTGTGTGCTTTCCCTGTTTTTATTTATTTTTTCTTTTTTCTTTTCATTTCTTTCTAATGAAGCATGCCTACTATTTTACATGCTATTATCTTCTTTTAAATCAATACATATATATAGTCTGTCTTTATTTCAGGTGAAGTGGTGACTAACCATGATGAGCTCATGTCCAATTTCTTTGCATAGCCAGACGCCCTTGCATATTGGAAGGTAAGTTTGATCCTCGCTCCTCCACATAATCAATCAGTGTGAAGTGATTCACTTGTAAAACTAAATTGATGACTTTATAGTTTTTCTAGTACAGAAAAATAATCAAGGAAAATAATTGCAAAAAAGGTTGAAAGTAAGTAAAATATATTTTGCGAGGACATAATGCTACATTATATCAATGATGATGAAAACGTCTGTCAATGATCCAAATCTCTAACCAAAGTCCCATTTCTTGTAGACCATAGAGCCGTTGCATAAGGAGAATGTTCCACAACATCTTATCTCTCATAAGGTAATTTCCTCTTAGCTTTATTGATTGCCATACAGTTCAATGGATATTTCCTCTCAGCTTTATTGATTGCCATACAGTTCAATGGATATTTCCTCTCAGCTTTATTGATTGCCATACAGTTCAATGGATAGTGCTAAGTAATTTTTGTAATATTTTTCACAGACCTCCTGAAATCGGCCTTCTCTCAAGGTCTTCTGTTACCTTTACTGAATGCTTACAATATTGGACAGGTTTGCGGTTTCTTTGATTCGTTGTTTCATGGATTTTCTCTTTCAATTGCTTAAGGCATCCAAGGACATTCAGTTCACTTATTTGCAAAAATTAACATCTTTTTTAGCCAATGCTATTACACTGATCACTTGTAATACTTTTGTTTGTTCTGTTAATGAGTGGCTAGGATGGATTGTCTTCTAATCTCCTTTTCATGAATAAATCAGTCTTTGCCGGTTATATGGTGGAAGATGTGCTACATGCGATGACTTTTTTTAAATTGCATTGCCTATATAAGCTAATTTTCCTTGTGAACGAGATCTTCATTTCTTGCATATATAGTTGTTTACTAATATTTCATTCATTTAAGGCTATTATTGACTAGTGTTTCGTTGGTTACTGACTAGGTGAAGTGGGTAAACATCCTTGAGCAGCAAGAAACGATAGAATTGAAGAACTTGAAGTACAGCTTCAAGAGGCAAAGGGTGTAATAATGACTTGGAAGGGTAAACATTTTCTGATGTAAAAAAGTCTATTACATACACTTGCAATATGTTAATATTGGATTG